CAAGGGTGGGTCTTCGCCCGGTTCCCAGCTAGACCTGAGTGACCACAATGGGCCATCAAACAGGCCCTGCAACCCCTACAGTAGGTTACAATATACACAAACACAACAGTCTCCGATTATTTTCTCAATTTTCACTGATGTCTTCATACGTACCTTACATGTATCGCTGCTCTTCGAGGCTTCAAAAGTGAACGCTTGACACTCCATCGACAGCTGTGGCCGCCCACTGCCCATTGAAACCTTGAAAAAACCATGGGGGGATCCTTACGTGGCCTTCCTATGTGAAGTGCCAGTTGCCTCACCGAGTGCGCTGGCAACTGGGCAGTCCAACCATCCACCACCCTCAGAGACGAAGAACCTGGGCGTGACAGGTTACAAGCCCAGAACACTCCCTTCTTGGATGTGTATATTTTCTTAGCCTCAAGGGGGGTAGGCCGCTAGTAACTAGCATAGGGAAGAGGTAGTTAGCTAGGTAGCCAGGGCTAGTACCTACAAGTAAGCTTCTAGGTATAGGACGCCACTACCTTGGACGCAGGATAGCTCACGCTTCTTCAAGGAAGCTCCCCACCTGAGGGCGGGGGGGCAGCTTCCTTGAAGAAGCGCTCGCACTATTCATTTGGTTCCGATCTTTTTTGGCTTTTTAGGGAAACTTGACATTCAAACCAAATGAACCATTCAAACCAATTGAGCAAGCGATCCCTGAAACCCATGGTCACATCGTCCTAAACATCTATTTTATTCTCTACATCGGTTTACAGTTCAAGTCTGGTTCTTGATCCAACAATAGCTCTGTGGCAAAAAGGGTACTTAATCCTATGACTCTATGACCAAACCACCGCGGTGAATTGAAAGGCGCGGTTGGTCATTGGTAAGCGAAAGCTCTTGCACCACAAGAACTATGAGACTTTACTCTATGTCAAGATACTTGTTATTACAATTTTAAGACGGGATTAAATGGGACTGGACTCAGACTCAGCACCCGATTAAGTTGGCATGTCTAAATTAGATGGATGTAGCAGGTCTTTGTGCATCATCAAGTACCATCCTTTCCTAAAATATCCAAAATAGTAAAACTCCTCGATGAACTACAAATGGCATCAAATATATAGCAGCAGCTTCGATCCATGGGTATAGGAACAAGGACGCTATTAGGAACAAAGGGCACCGGGCATCGCTAGGGGCTCTTGGCCTTACTACTAGGAGCAAGAGGACGCTACTAGGAACAAAGGGCATCGCTACTAGGAGCAGCAGCTTCGACCCATGGGTAGTGCAGCCAAGGAGCAAGTTTAGGAATTGCATGAGGCGTCGAGGTACGCGGCAGTGCGGATGGTAGCACTGAACCTGAGACGAACTGAAGGAGCGCCACCCAGCGAGGTGCAAGGATTGCGTTGGCAGATTTAACGCCTTGAACGAACGCATGCTACCGACCTGGGGAAGGTAATTCTATTATATTGGACAATAAATGGGCTACTTGCACTGTCACGCGGTATACACGGAGCATTGCTTCTGGACCCACATTCACTAGCAGCTAGCAACCTTTGACAGCTTTCTCCTAAAAAATATCAGGTGATCCGATTACGAAGACCCACTTTGAAAGTCAAAGTCAACCATAGATGACATGGCTCCATCACACCTTGCCAGCCCACAGAAATTACATTTCACCAGTCTCAGTCGCAGGCGGTCACTAAACACCTGCAATGATCAGCCCGGCTTCGGCGTGCGTCGAACATTCGGAAATCACTACGTAACACTCGGGTCCACTTCACCTGTGGCCATTTTTTCCCTGATTCACAGTAGTGTGTTTTTGTTGGTTGAACTACTTGGCATGCTTTGACAAACCTGTCACTTGTTCTTTTCAAGGTATGCAACTTCTCAGGCTTTGTGCTGGAGGACACCATGTTTCAATCCTTCTGGCCCATCCGTCCTAATCGCGCAATTAACATACTAATACTAGTATCAGCAAACAACAAATAGAACATCAATAGCAGGAAGCCCTCTCTGTGGCTTTGAGCGTGATCAGGGGTATGTTCATTTCAACCCGAAAAGATTGAGCTTCAAGGCATGCCACGCCATGCCTTGCCTCCGCTGGTCGCTTTTCTCAAGCCTGGTGGGGGACAAACCGAGACATGGGTAGTAGGGTATGCCACATACATGGAAAGACACTTCAAAGAATGTGGAAACCATGTCTGAAACCTTGGCATTCAAGTTCGAAACCATATTACTGTAGGCACACGAGGCATACACGGTACACCTACGGAGAACAAAAAAAAAAATATGAAGCTGGGAAGGTGACATCGATATGCTTCAAGTTGGCCGCCGTTGCTGCCTTTGGCCGGATACTCGACGAGGTCCCTGACCTGCATCGCCTATGCCGGACAGGACACTGAGCGATGGTCCCACGAGCCTTTGGAGATAAGAAAACATCGTGTTGAGGATGATAAAGTCATCTGAAACTCAGGACTCAGGACCATCGTTTCTGGACCTGGGCTGTTCTTGAGTCGAACTAGATACCCATTGGTATCCCCAACCACACACAACTGGCACATTCTCTGATTCGACTCTGGAAAACCATTCTATGTTCAAAAAGGTTCAAAACCAACAACATAAACATGCTAATTACCCAAAAGTAATTCTGAAGGCAGCAACCATGGAAAACACGTCGGCCAAAAAATTGGTAAATGGGTCTGACATGGTCCGACGATAATCCCTATGATCTTGCGAGCGGACAAACATACTAGTCGTCTTTATAGTAGCCGCTGGCCTAAAACAACAGCAAAGTGCATCAACAAATAGTCTATCAAAAATGATCACTCAAAGAATTTTGTGCTCACAATGCACACCAAAATACACCAAAGATTCATGTTGGGAAACCTGAGGGTTCCCGGTTTGCGGAGACCGGTCCTGCTGGGGCGAAAGCAAACGGAATGCGGCCCTTGGATCAAGAATCCTGAATCCTGGCTCCGAACGAGCAATTAACTAACTTATTGATCTCTAGAAGCAGTTGCGGTAGGAACAAGAAGCTGCTAGGAGCAAAGGGCATCGCTACTAGGAGCAAGGACGCTACTAGGCGCTCCTGGCCTTACTACTAGGAACAAGAAGCGAGTTATATAAAATCGTTCTCCCATAGAACCGACACGTGCGGCCGAGTGGCCAAAAAAACGCTGCCAGAGCTGCCGCCGCCACAGCGGGAGAACGATTGTCCCCACGTGTGCAATGGATGAGTACCTCAAATGCAATGGTCGTTTCTTGGTCATCTCTGTGGACATCTGCCTTCGTTTTTGTTGGCATCACTGCGCGACAGTGAAGGAGAATGGCCTGGAGTAGCCACACTTCGCAGGCTTGCATCACACAAAAAGGATCTTGCAACATGTGCACCTATTGCGAGTGATCTGCTGCTTCATGTTGGAGTTCCTCATTAAGCCAAGCATTGGTGCCCAAAGGTGTTAATAAAGCACACAATAAAGGGTCCCAAAACGATCCGATGTACTTACTGTGCGGGTTCAAACATCATATGCCTATGTATGTACAGTATTATTACTATAAATACACCGTATATATCTGCACTAAATGGCTTGCCAGCGCCTCAGCACAATATCTTCAACTCAAGGCTACGCATTTCCAGGAGCGATCCCCAAATAAACAGCCAAGCACAACCAATGTTAAACATGTCAATATGATTCAATGTGTTTGTTCTCATTTCGTTGTACATTCGAAGAACCACCATACCTTTGCACAGGCACAGCCACTTCAGCATCCACAGCTTTGGAAACACTTAAATGATTGGATGCTGTGTACTGCCTAAGCAACACACCTCTTTCAAGAGCGCACATTTTGGAAGCCAAGGTGCACGTCTCTCTTCCTCCAAGTGCCTCCGCTGACGCTGAAAAGGGCTCCATATGAAACAGTGGGAGGGAAACTGTAGAAATGTTTGACTCTGACACTTCAGACTGTCCAACCTGTGCCTGATAATATATCATATCCCCGAGTTATATATTATACATCCTAATCAAATTGTGTGCAGTATAGTTATCAACTCGCAAATTTCAAATCTATCCGAACCTGACACCTGAGGGTTACCAACCGGTGCAGTGATCTGAGTTTCTGTACCTCCAAAGGAAGCGCAAAGCCCTGGGAAGCAAAACTTCGGACCACCACTGCTTGGTGGGGTCGTGCCTTGGAATGGCTCTGGCAGGATCCACAACCACAACCACAGCTTTTTCACATTACCATTATTGGATCCCTTGAGCCAGCTAACCAATTTTGCTGTTGAAGAGTTGAAGGACTGTTTGTTCTCCGTGCTTGTTTTTGGATGGCAGGTGATGCGGCATCAGCACCACAGCCTGCATCACTTTGTTCGGTGTCTCGGCATCCGGGCTTCTTCTCATCCGCAGCAGGTAGAAAGAGATATCGTGGGTGGCCTAGTGGGAAACAGCGAAGGAGAGTACGGCTCGCGAAAGGAGCCTCAGGGTCTCCCTGAAAAAAAACCAACGGCTGATTTTCTAGAACTGAAAAAGGCAATCCAAGCACTGGACCTGCGAGTCGGTGAAATTGGGGCGTTTCTCTGTATCCCAACTCGCGTGGTACAAGTGCTGTGCTTCGCCAAGAGCTGAGAAAAGTTCACTATTCCAAAAATGCATTGTGAACTGACCAACAATGCAAATGCGCGGCTTAGTCTCTCCATATCTCCATGGTGAAGAGGTGTCTTTCCGTTTTCTGAGATAGCCATTCACTGAGCGTTCATGGGCTTAATTAATCTTCGTCTTGGACCCTCAGAAGGCCGCCTCTCATCTCGGAGTGCTCTTCTCCTGGAACACTGGAGCTTCGTCTAGGAGTCTAGTCTCGGCGCACCATCATTCAATCACTATGAAATGTAGCTGTCTTCCGTGAATCAGCGCCAGTGCTCACATCTCTTGCAGTGTTGACTCCATGGCTCCGTACTGTTTCATTCCTTTCACCGAAAGGGTTGCACAATGGACAGCAACTCCTCTGTCCTCCGCAGTTCAGGACGGCATCGACTCCGTCCTCGGATCACAGTGCTCCAGTGCAAGACTATGCAAGACTCATGGGTTCTCTAGGTCCTAGACCAGACTCATGCTGGGTCCCTTCTGCAATTCATCTCTGTGATCACCTGCCGGACCGGGGAGCCAGGCCCACACCGCCGGCGGCGTGGCGGCTGCAAAGTCACCCACCACCAGGCGGGTGTCGCCCAAAATGGACACACCCTAGGGATCTTCAGAACGCCCAGGAGGAAACGCCAAAACCCCTGGACGAATCTTTGGAGACAAAGACATAATGATTTCCTGTCAAATCACCCGAGGCATCCCAACGCCAAAACCCCTTGTTTGGAACAATGGCCCAAGTCATGGTTCTAGAATTAAAACGCCGAGCTACAGGCTATAGACTATTTGCGGCCATATGGCCCATAGGATGCGCCAATCGAATCAATCATCACAATCATAATCCTCACTGATTGTTTCAAAGCAGTGAACCGCAGTGAACTGGGAGCCACAAGCAATGCACCTGGAGAAGTAGTGGCAGTGGAGCAATGGTTTTTCGTGCTGAGCAGCACACGCCTCCATCTTCTATCTTCACCTGGCAATTGGCTATAACTGGCCAGCGAGGTCTGATGCGATGGTCTGCTGACCAGAAACATGGAAGAGAATGGCAATTGAATGGCATGTATGAAAGACCTTGAAATCCCAAACTTGCACCAAATATCAATGTTGCACAGCCCAAGAATGGCACACCGCGGCACACCTCAGTATATGTCGAGTTGAACACCCCAAATAACGGATGCTTTCTTGCAAAGCAAACTGAAGAAGAACATGCTGGATTCCACTGTAGGTGCGCTTTGAAGTCCTCAATAAAGCATGACAGGTTTGGGGCTGAGTGCTTTCCAGCAAATCTGCAGCAAAGCACAGGTTCAGGTTTGATCTCCAAGTGGCTGGAGTGCCAATGCACACGGCCCAAGTGATGAGTGCATGTTGTTATCGCCATTGTCGTCCATTCTTGTGACCCATTTGCTGGCGTCTCACTATTCAGCGTCAGCACGAGTTCCAACCCGAAACAAATTTTCGCAACCAACCGACCATCGGATACGCGACGGGCTCTCACATGGCTCACTACCAGCCTCTCTTCGCTCCTGATACATATGAGCGATCGAAAGCAAGCTGGTAGAGGAAATCGCACACGTAATTACTCTGCATGCTTTCAGCCAAAACAACAAGAAGCTACTTAGGGCCTCATGGCATCGCTACGAGGAGCAAGGACGCTACTAGGGGCTCCTGGCCGTAGTACTAGGAGCAAGTCACTACTATAGTAGCAGGACGCTACTTTGGAGTTGGAGTTCAGAATTCAGATTCAGCGAAGCCAACCAGTCGGGACACCCAGCTGCTGGCCCGTCCTGTGGCTCTACTGCAGCTTCTTTGGCCAAGGAACGGACCAATTCATCCACCTGCGACCGGAATGTGTGACCCTGTGAGGACGATTCAACGTGCCTGAACGTGCTTGGTATAATAGTATTTGCTCTATTTCCATGTTTTGCTCTATTTCCTGTGCAGATTTGGTGTGTCTTTGGTGTTTCTTTGGTTTCTGTGTTCTTTCTTTCTCCCGTCTTTATGCCATGCATTTCTTTCTCTTTCTTAGCTGATGGGCACTAAACCAGACTAAACCCCGCTGATGGCTCCGCACGTTTAAGATCGATTTCTTCGCGGCCTCTTCTTGGAACAGCAGCTCTTCAACCAGGTGTCTCTTGGGAATATCTCGTGCCGCATTTGAATGCTCAAAACCCTGTTCGAAGTCATCCATTTTCAGGTGTCATGATCGTTGCAACTCCCTCCCTTTCTCCCTCTGTTCTGGCAAGCCAAACCACTTAGACTTTGGTCTCCCTCCCTTTCAATCTCCCTCCTCCTCCCCCCCTCTCCTTCGCTCCCTCGCTCCGGCCAGTCCTCCTCTGGCTTTGCTTCAGCCATGGACCACAGTTCTTGCGCCTCAACTGGGTCTAGTCCCCCGGCCACTCGGTCAAGCTCTGAATTTTTTCTGACCAGCTGGTGTGCTCAGCACTCTCCAATACTGTAAGCATACTGAAGCGTCTTGCTCCTAGTAGCGATGCCAGGAGCATACTTTGGGTCCCTGAAGACCATAACAACGCAGGGCCCTGCCGACTCCCTGAAATTGGATCTCGATCTGTCGGCCTGTCGGCCGAAGAAAAAAAGCATGCCGACCTGAAAGCTTCTTTTGTCCAGCTGATAAAAGGTTGGTTGATCCACTCCACAGCGACTACTCAGCGCAAAGAACATTTCAGGACACCCATTAGTTTTGAGCATCCCCCAATATTTGATGCATGAACAACATTTATCTCAAAAATTATCAAATCCAATTGTGGCGGAGTATGCAGAGCTCACCAATCTCACTAAGGCTCTTAGGCCACACTGCATCATTTGTTCCAACTCCTGGCCCTCCGAATGTATGTCCCAGAACTCACAGTGCATAGCCCTCTTTGCATTTACGCTGCCTGTCGAGGCATGTCGAGCTTCAAAAACAGGCTCTGACGATTGCCTCGAACTTGGTGTTTTTGGATCGGCCTAGATCACGTTGCTGGTGACTTCCACAGAGTCTCGACGCTTGACAGATCATTCTAAAGCATGGCTAGCCAGAAACTATCAGAAACCTAACTAAACGTGGCTTTGTACTCTACAGAGTGCTTTGTACTCTTGACAACGAGAAAGAAACTCTGTGCGAAATTGGGGTCCGTCGCATCGCTTTCCGTCGTGATTGGACCTGCAATCTCCGGTCACAGCCACTGGGCGCGCAAAATGGCACTCTGGAAGCCGTCTTCAGAAGCTCCCAAGGCTGTTGCTATACTATGCTGGGAAAGAACCAACTCAATCAACTCCTGTCAACATCTGTCAACAGCCACGAAACACATTTTCCAAACGGCTAGCAAAGTCATCATATTGGCCAAACGTGCTGCCAAATCGCGAAGGTCTCCAACCGAGCGAGAGCCACAGGTCTTTCAGAAAAATGACCTGCGCAGGAGAGCGATGGGGTCTCAAATGCAGCATGTGATGGGGAATGGACGGTCAAAAGTTTCAAGTTCGGGACAAGCCTGCCATGTTTCTTCTGCAGTGTAGCTGGAGCTGGGGCTTGCGGCGTTTGCCCAATAGATTTATAATGACTTTATATATAGCCCAGTCTTTATCACAACAGCTCCCCTTGGAGGAGTCGGCAATATTGTGATTGAGAGTGCAAATGCAGCTGAGAAAAAGTCTATAACTTATAAACATCTTATAACTGTCACTGGTGGATTCTCCATCGACGAGTAGTTCCATTGCCAGGCTACTTGACTAACTAGAATGAACCAAAACGACAAATCAAAATCGTTCGCTTCCTCCAGTTTTCACCTGGCAGCTTTCAACCCCTGGTCTGTCCATGAGGTTCAAATATTGGATCGAGCGCAGCAACGGCGCTTCAGGACTCGGCTGTTCGCTCTGCTCACCTGCTACTGGTGCCCGTTGAAGTTAATACATTTTGCATGTGGGACACTAAACCACCATGGAACGCCGATTTGCAAAAGTCAGCACTTAAGTCAAGACTGCTGGCCTTCCCCATTGTAAACGCTACATACAGTACAAGTGGAACTCCTTACACACCTGTAGCATCTACTAGGTGATTTGACGAACTCGCGCAAAGAACCACACTTTTTTTGATAATTCTCCGTGGTCGATCAGGCCCTTTAAGGGGCTGCTAGACCTTAGTGGAGAAGTGAGACTTCACCACCAGCAAGTTGGAGCTCAAAACTATTCAAAAATACACCTCCACCATGTGTTCACCAGGCGGAGATGCGGCTGCATCAGACGTTTTACTGGCATCACCGACCGCCGGATTGGAAGGTTTGTCCTCAAAAGGCACTGAGGGATTGGGGGTCGAAAGGGATTGCACTGATTTCGCTGGAGATATTGGAGCCGCTTGAACCACCGGCAAAGTATTGGGCTCCGTGGATTTTTGCTTGTCTGCATAGATCTGGCGACATTTGCGCAAGGTCAGGAAAGCACCTGCCAAAAGCGAACATGCTGCCAAGGCAGTACCAATTGCTGCCCACTGGATCTCCGTCAAGCCGAGAAAAGTCTCATCCTCACAGCTCAACCCATCATCGGTGACTTCCTTTCCATCAGGGCAAAAGAAACAAGAACCCTCAAGCGCACTCCAGTACTGGTGAGCAGGACACCAGCGACATTGGTTGTCCTCTGAAAACTGTCCAGCCGGGCACTGCACACACTGGTTGTCCTGAATATACTCGCTTCTCTTGCATGTAGGGGGACAGCTTTGATTGTAGGCGTTGCTGTTCGCGAGCCTGCAAACCTCTACAAATTCCCAAAGCTGACTCGTCCGATTGCTTCGCTGGAACTCGCAATCTTGGGCGACGATCCAAGCGCCAGGCGAGTGGTCTTCTGCCCAAACGGTCAAGCACCGACCGGGGGCAGCCCCGTTGGTGAAGTAGGTTCCAGTATCCCCTTCTTCGGGAGGACGTTCAGTCCACACCTGTTCTGTGTATTGTCCATTCTTTGCTTGTTCAGTTTCACAGGCATGGATTTGAACCGTAGCTTCATTGGGTACGCCAAAGCCGGCCACATCAAGGCACATACCACTCAGCGAGTTTCTGAACATGCCGTACTCGTAAACCCATGCGTGGTCAGTGACGGCTGCACCAAATTCGCACGCATAGAGGCTGGCCGGCGTTTCTGCTGCGACCGCTGGCCAACCCCAAACGTCCAAGCAATATCCACTTGCGGCATGCCGAATGAAATAAGTGCGGGTAGCCGCCAAGGCGAGGCTAACCAAACTAAGATAAGTAAGAAGGTGAAACCACATCGATGCAAAGCCTCGTGTTGGATCTCGAGATCCCTTGAGCCATAAATTGAATCAGCACCAATATGGCTACCTTGTTGCAAATGATCTGTCAGGAACCAGGATGGTCCTCGTTTCAATCCTTTGAATCATCCACGACACAAGTCGACATGTGTTCTATTGTTTTCCTGCCTCGCTGAAGTCCCTCTGGCACCAGCATCAAGTTTCCACCGATCTCACTTTCATCCAGAATCCTTGGAGCATTGGGAATCTGATTGGGGCTGGTCTAGATGACTCCAGATGCTGCACGTCAAAGCTGCCTCGACATCGGTCGCTACCCCTTGAAAGTCGCTGATGATGTGCGCAACAAACAAGCAAGCAAGCAAACAAACCAAAATGCCTGTAAGTTCAGAAATGCATGTTTGATCTTGCAAAGTAAGCTTCATTATGCTTCATTGCATCCCTGAAAGCTGTTTCAAACATTTCGAACTCTTGAACGTCTAGCTCATCAACGCGAACACACCTCACTAGGTCCTTGATTGCAAGTGTTGCATGCAAGTTGTCAAGTTACTGACTCGACTCTATATCTCACTATCAGTCGTTCACCATGGTTCACTGTTGTCCATCCCAATGCCGTCGAAGGACAACGCCACTTGAAGCCGTGGCCATCACCACACGGGACGCAGAACGTCGAATTCGCGCGGCCAGGCTCGGGCCAACATTGGGCCAAAGGCCCAGCGTGGAGCCGCATGTAAATGGGGTCCGAGTCGGTCCCAGCAAGAGTGAGAAACGTATAACCAGTAGCTTCTTGTTGCTAGTAGCGATGGCCTCCAACCTAATAATTAGCGATGGCCTCCACCTAGTAGCTTCTTGCTACCAGTAATATGTACATGTATTAGAACATGTCAAGTAGAAGGCTAGGTTTGCTGGGCTCGGCTCTTCTCTTAACAAATTCAGCAAACTGTACCAGTGAACAACTTCAGGTAGGAAACCCAAGGAAGGCTTTAAAGAATGATGATTCGTGTGCGCAACTAGGCATTCCCCCAGCCAAATCTTTTTGCTGAGAGAAATCTACTCTGCGGCCATGATCCCACGGCGTACACTGCCAGTGGACTCCCAACCTCCCGCTGAGATCCATGCATGCTTCCAAAAGAGCAATGGGGTCAAACCCAAGTGCTGAGCCCAGGCCTGTCGTCAAACTCGACTTTGATCGAGATTGGTGAACGAGGCATCTCCTGTAAGCTCTGCTGCCATTCTTCCTCTCTTCCCCTCCTGGCACCTCTTCATCATCCCCAGCTCCTTGTACGTAGGTGGTGCTTCCCATCTCCACCTCTGGCGAAGCTTCCCGTGAAACACGCTTCGTAGGTGGTGCTTAACAGATGATCGGAGGTATTTCTTGAAGAAACCCTGCAGAAACGACCGAGAGTCTGTTTCGTAGGCGGGTCAAAAGGATGCACCAATTCGATTCACCTTTTCTGCGGTCGCGTGGACGCAAAAGCAACACGAAGCACTATCACTGTCTTCAAAAACCCTCGATCCCACTCAAATACAGTAAACAAATATTGTGCACATCGCAATAAACCACGACCACGAGTCAAATATAGACCTCGGACCCTCCTGGTCCTGGGGCAACCGTCAACACACAATAACAAACTGCGGTCAATTAAAAACACTCAGCGTTTATCAACAGGTTACAAATTTATATAAGATAATTTAAGCAACAAGTCAATGGTAAACAGTTGATGCTACGCTGGGGATGGGGGTGGGGTTGGGTGGTGTTAACGTTCGCTGGCACTTACGTCATGCAGTTGATGGTGGGGCATGTTAACGTTCGCTGGTACTTAGGTCATGCAGTTGATGCTATGTTGGGGATGGGGGTGGGGTTGGGTGGGGCATGTTAACCTTCGCTGG